GCCAAACAGTTGGCGGTGAGAGGGCTTCAGTGCTAAAAGCATTCTTAGAGGACCTTGCGGTTGTGTTCAGAACATATTGGCGTAGCACTAGATGCTCACCAAGAGGTTCTGGATGTCGGTTATATCGACACATCATAAGATGCCTTACAAGCAAGCAACGGCTGCTTGCAGGACCTTCTACCCGGTATGGATCTTTGAGAGCAGAATTTCACACTCCACCGTGAGATCCACATCGGATAGATGGACCTGCCATCCTACCGCTGTTAGCTATAGTCATCTTGAGGGAGTCGATGAGGTGAGGACCCGACAAAGAAAACTCTTAGGGGACTATGCTGCCGTGTTTTTGGAACTTATCGACGTAGCACTAGATGTTCACCAAACAGTTCCGGATGTCGGTTATATCGATAAATCATAAGATGCCTTACAAGCGCGCAGCGGTTGCTTGCAGGACCTTCTACCCGGTGTGGATCTTTGAGAGTAGAGTTTCGCACTCCACCGTGAGATCCACATCGGATAGGTGGACCAACCATCCTACCGCTGTCAGCTTTAGGCATCTTGAGGGAGTCGACGAGGTGCGGACCCGGCAAAGAATATTGTTAGGGGACTTTGCTACCGTGTTTGGAACATATTGGCGTAGCACTAGATGCTCACTAAGCAGTTCTGGATGTCGGTTATATCGACACATCATAAGACGCCTTACAAGCAAGCAGTTGCTGCTTGCAGGACCTTCTACCCGGTGTGGATTTTGAGGGCAGAGTTTCGCTCTCCACCGTGAGATCCACATCGGATAGGCGGACCTGCCATCCTACCGCTGTTGGCTGTAGTTCTCTTGAGGGTCGATGAGGCGAAGACCCGGCAAAGAACACTCTTAGGGGACTTTGCTGCCGTGTTTGGAACTTATTGGCGTAGCACTAGATGCTCACCAAGCAGTTCTGGATGTCAGTTATATCGACACATCATATGATGCCTTACAAGCAAACTGTGGTCGGATCCTGTCCCCCATCCCCGACGCGGATCTATGAGAGCAGATTTGACGCAATCCACCGTTAGATCCACATCGGAGAGGCGGAGCGGTCGTCCTACCGCTGTTTAGTGTAGTCATCATGTGGGAGTCGACATCGCAAGAACCCGACTATGTTCCAATTGGGACGTGCTCTTGTTTCGTGATGTGCAGGTGCTTACCGGCGGTGCGTTCGATCCCCTCCTAGACGTAAAGCAAAGTGTGAGGGAATTGCTCGGGGCTCACACCAGAAGTGCGATTGAACTCGCACTTAAATGGAGAAAAAGTTGCGCAGTCCATCAGCGCGAGGATTTAATATGGACATTGGCTTGTCATTTGTATATTCTAGGTTGAAAACGCCACCAAATCTTTCTGTGTAGAAGATTCATATCCATTCATACAAGTATCTCTTGTCATCGCAAACATCGAGATGAAAACATCTCAAGTCAAATTGCAAAGCACACAACGACATCGCCAACATCGAGGTGAAAACATCTCAAGTGGCCTAGTATGTTTTTCCAAAGGTGAAGTCTCACAACACACGAACAGTTTCCAGAAACCATTCAATGCAAAAAATTCATTCAATGGCAAATTGCAAAGCACACAGAGACATTTCAAAAAATCATTGAACGCAAAATAACATACAATCCCACATTGCAAAGTGCACGAAGGCTTTCCAAAAATCACAAAGCACATGGAGCCAAAGTGCGAATATGTTCGCATTTCTCATATGGAACCAACAGTTCAATCACAAATGTACGGCATCCAAAGTGCGAATATGTTCGCATTTCTCATACGGAAACAACAGTCAGCATTCCGTGGAGAGCACGAGATGTATTCCGGGGACAAGAAAATTGGTAATCATGTAGTGCACCGCTGAATCCGTAAAACAATTCCAAACACACATACATTCTGGCGACAATTGGTTTCCGAATGGAGAACAAGTTCGGAACCGTCATAAGGAACCAACAGACAACATTCAATGGAGACAAGAAGAGGGGGTGAATCGTAAAACGGGGCGGCACACGCAGAACAAGGGCGAGCCAAAACATATGAAAGCTGGGTGGTCGGGGTGGCGCGGGGGAGAGGGGCTTTCACACCACAAAGTCTCGCGAACGAAAGAGATGAGCACGAAACAATTTGGGGACCAAGAATAAATCGTCCATATCTTTCCGTACCAGTATGAGTGCAAAATATTTACAAGAGGACGAAGACGTCCCATGAGTAACAAAGCAGCACAACCTCGAAACGAACAAATGCAGCACGGCGCGGCAAACGCAGCACGGTGCTGCCGCGGTCTGAAAGCCGGGATTTTCACATCCCATATCTAAGCGTCTACTTAAAAGATACTGCAACATGTGGCTGAGATATTTACATCGGCATCTAAGATTGTACTTCACGTAAGCGTCCGATGCAACCCTCTAGCTGATGTTGCACGGCAAGCAATGAGAACAACCCGAAAACAAACAAAGGCAGCATGGCGCTGCCAAAAGGCGTACGAGTAAAGATGACAGGTTCCTCGAAATGAAGAACCCTTAAAAAAATTCCTACTGCATGAGGTTGGGATATTCACATCGACACCTAAGCGTTTACTTGACCAAAACGTCTACTGCAATCCGGTACCTCATTAAAACAACAGCACACCTGGAATCGGCCGACTGGTAGATCAAGTGGGAATAAATTCGCACTTCTCCTTATGGCATTTCAAAAAAAAAACTACGCGTATTTTAACAACAGTGGTATCATTCAGCGCCTCGGAGTATGTCCACTGCAATCCTCAGCCGGATGTTTGGAATGTCGCTTTGGGGTATAAGAAATGGTGGCGGACAGCCGCGTGCAAGAAATGAAGCGAAGGTGAGCATGAAAACACCGCAGCTCGACCCGCCCGATTGTTGAGGGACACCACGAACAACCACCTTGGGCTCCTGGAGATCCACTTTCGTTTTTGGACCGTAATGACAAGCTGCTACGTCACGGAGGTATTGCGTGAAGTTCGCAATCACATCAGAAGAAAAACCGCCATCGTCTTGTTCGAGGGAGTCGTAGTACTCCAGCCGTTGTTCTCGGAGACACAATAGGGTCCAATGCACTCCATGTTTATGAACAGGAATCAAGACCATCTCGTACGAGAAAATATCCATATCTTTTGTCCATCTCGCAACCCTATCATGTCGATAGCCGCCACGGACGAGCTTGATAAAGAAAAAGGGACTGAAAATGTAAAGAGATGGACACCCAGGCAACGCAGCGTTGGCAAGCAAGGCCAAGTACGACTCCACCACCTCGTCGGAAAGCCATTCTCCCTGAATAAGAGTTTGAAGACTTTTTCTGCTCAACGGAATTGAACTGACCCGTTTGCAAACCGAGGACACCACCTCGTGGCCGTTGCTGAAATCTCCACAGACGTTCCGCAATATTCTCAAGTCCGTAGCGCTAAGCTCCTCGGTAGGCAACGGAACGCAAAAACATGATGTGGCCCTAGCTGCACAAACACCCACGAACAAGTGTGAGGAGTGATCAAAATTACCGGGCCGAAATGGCTAAGAACCGTCTGCCGTTTTCCCAGAAAAGTTGTATCCCCGACTGTTGAATGTGTCCTTGGCGATGTACTTAGGACACGGGTCTTTCAAGACTCCCCGTTTGGCATCGTCATCAGACCCATCAGACAAAGCAGTAACGCTTTCAATAGACGCAGCCAAATGTTTCCGCAAACCTTCCTCCTTATCTATTCCACAAGCCTTTAGAACCTTGACAACTCTCTGGGAAAGGCGAGGCATCTGGACCCTTTTAAACAACCCTATAGTTGACGACTTCTTCGGTAAAGCGGCCAATGACCTCCCTGAAAGACATTTCTCGCGCACGGCTTTTAAAGGCTTCATGGGCAGGGACATTGACAACCTCACACTTGTAAAACATAGAAAACAACCCACAACCCACAAGCTATTTTTTAACAAGTGGTAATAGGTACATGAGCCCATCACATCAATTTGGACGAACACAGAGCTGGCTAGTGACAGATATGCGAGTGCTCCTATTCATAAATCTTACCGTGTTCTGGAGCCCTTTCAGGGAACTCGCCCTCCTGTCGCGCCACTGCGCCAACATCCACGGAGGATTCGAGGTTCTGCACCTCGTCCACGACTGTGTCGCTAACCAGCTCGGTGGCAGCTGAGTCGCTTGGCAAGTCGATGGGTTCATGAAGTGCCATTTCCCGACCGGTACTGAGGACAGATGCTCGATCACCCTGTTCTGCACCGCAACGGGTGGACGGAGAATCATGATCTTTCCGCTCTGGATCCATCTTGATGCTGACGACCACCTTACCGCCTTCCACGGACAATTCGAGGTTCTGCACCTCGGCCACGCCTGAATCGCTAACCAGCTCGGTGGCACCCGAGTCGTCACCCAACTCTATGGCTTTATGAAGCACCGTTCCCCGAGCGGTGCTTAGGACAGACGCTCGACCACCCTGTTCTTCACCGCAACAGGTGGGCGAAGAATCACCATATTTCCGCTGCGGATCCGTCTGGATGTCGACCGTCACCTCGACGCCTTCCACCACGGGTTCTCCGCCTTTCTCATCGCCATGAGCCCGAGCTTCCACCGCGGGTTCTTCTTCGTCTTCATCGTCACCAAGAATGGGAGGTTGCACGAACGTCGACTGACCTCCCTTAACGACACCCTCTCGCGTTGTGGCCACAGCCGACCGACTATGCAGAACCTCTTCGGACGTCCCGATCACCAGTGCTCGAGTCTCCTCCCCTTGCTGTACAGCATGCGTTTCCCCCGGAGCTCCTGCACTCTCTCTGTCAATGTCCACAAAGGCGCCCTCCGAAGCATGACGTTCACACTCGCTACCCACGGTCTCCAACACTTTGCGAGACTGCCAGCGTTGAGTCTCCTCCTCCCGATGTACAGCACGCGTTCCCGGAGAGCGCTCCTCTTCCCGAGGAGTATGACGTTCGTACTCGCCACCCCCGGTCTCCAACACTCCTGCACCGGGCCCCTCCAGCACGTTGCGGGACCGCCAGTCTCGAGTCTCAACACATGAGAACGGAGGCGAGCAGGGTAACCCTGTGTCCAACTGAAGATGTGGGGGGCAGGACGTCACATTTTCTTGGCCCCGCGGAACTGTTGCGTGAGGACCACTTATGGCGGAGGGCGACGTCAACAAATCCGAATGTATTCGGAGTTTGTGGAGGTCGCCCGAGCCGAGGGAACCAAAGGTCGCACCTTCGCTCCTTCGCAATGCAGGCATCCCGCCCTCCAGGCAAAACGAAGACGCGCCCTCTTTCAGGAGCAAGGTGTTGAGCACATGACACCTCTGCTACGCACGGCGGGATGGACTCTCCTCGGCAACGGAAACAAAGTCCTCGCAGACAAGTGCGAATCTACTCGCACTTGATCAGACCTCAGGGTGGCGTCGTCTCGCATGTCCGAATCTCGACTCCCTACATAGTGGGGGTCAGTTTCCATATATTGGGGACTCCTGGACGTTCTGCGCTTTCCGCCCGACCCCTTCCCGCCCGACCCCTTCTCGCCCGACCCCTTCCCGCCCGACCCCTTTCCGCCCGAGTCCTTTCCGCCTGACCCCTTTCTGCCGGACGCCTTCTTTACCGACGATGTCTCGCCCGTCCCCTTTCCAGCAAACTGTGAGCCGTCTCCTCCACCACCTCCGCCGTCTCCTTCGTCTCCTCCTCCACCCCCTCCCGGATGCTGACCGCCCGACGGAGGTTGCGACATGCACCAGTCAATGCCACGAGACGGTGCCATTTCGAGTATGTAGAAAGGCGCTCGAAACTCCAACATGTTGTTGGCGTACAACGCATTTAGCTTTTGTTCTGCATACGCAGCGATGTCCGGATCGTTCCTCTCGGGGTTCATAAGACTCAAATGCTCCACCAGAGCATGTCTCGCCGTTCTCTTAAATGCACCCGCTCCCAGTCTCTTCAGTCCACTCCACTTGCCATCGGCCTCCTTCATTGCCATGACCCACATTCCATTCTTCACAGGAGGTTAGAATATCCTTGGGTGCCAGACGACGTTGTATCCCCAGACATCCTCCGCCGTGAACCGGTGATGCTTGCCGAAGAAGTAGAGTCTGTCATTCTGCTGGTGTCGTGGTCCTCAGGGAGCCTGTCACAAGGTTCGTGATCATAGTCTCTCTCTTCGTCCCCGTCATCAAACGATTGGTCGTCGACTGGTTCGCCCCGCAACACACGCTTCAAACCGGCAGGGGACATGCTATATCTCCGAGGGTCACCTTCCTCTTCATCACCAACCTGTCTAACCACCCGAGGAAGTGGCATGGACTCGAAATCGAAGGTTTCGGAGTCGCTCAACTCCTCCATGTCTTCAGCGTCGAAAGGGTTCTCCTCGTCAAACTGTGACCTGTAGTTTTCGAGGGTGAGCGGTTCGGCCAGCGTGAAGTAAACGTGTTCCAGCCTTCTCAGGAAATGCGAGATAGACTCTCTGGGTGCATCGTGGTACCCATTGAGCACACCGAACACCAGGTTTCTCCGTCGACTGTATTCGAGGTCGGTCGGACCAGGCGGTCTGGGTTGGAAAACGAAGTCCCAAACCTACGTCCTTTTGTTCCCCGGCAATTTCCAATACATGTTACGTTTGGGAGCCCAGTTTCGTTCGTCGGTGGTCCGAACAAACTCGCAAGCATTGCGAGTGTCTGCAACGCGTGTCTTTACGAACTCGTGAAGGTAATCGATCATCTTCGCCTCCTTCTCCAACGCGACGACGTTCCAACCGGTGCGCAAGAGTTCCCACATGACAGACGCATGCGCCTTCCCAAGGAAGAAAACAGTTTGCCCCGCTTTGCAAAAGTTTTCGAGTAGACCAAGTAGACGGGACGGGTTCCGTTCCATATCCCCGTAAGCAGTTCCTTGAAAACTTGTCACGCCGCCGTCCTCCCACATGCTACGAGTGAACCTTTCCTCTTCCGCGACGTCGAAACACGCCACAGCCTGTCCTGACGGGTCCGACGAACAGACAACTTTCGAGTGTGCCGCCACCGTGTGTTTGACCGGACTTGGACCATGAGCACAGGAGGCCTTTGTCGGGCTACTGCCCGGGTAGACTGCGAATGTGTTGTCTTCCAACTTCTCGCCATTAAAAATCACGTAGAGGCGGTCACACTCCTCACGTGATGGACACTAAGCCTGCTTTTGTGCATGGCGCACCCACTTGCCTGTCCTGACGTGATGGACACTAAGCCTGTCCTGACGTGATGGACACTAAGCCTGGCCATGCCTTTCAAGAAACTGAGCTCCCATCGAGAGGGGAAAAAAACCACAAGTGCCAGTGCGTTGGCGAAAGTGTTTGGAGAACGCCCTGCAAGTTGGCGAAATCGTCTTCTCGCCTTTCTGTGAGTAGTGTGGGATCACACAAGTCGAGTACGTGGAGGTTGCACACGTAATATCGCACAACCTCACGGATCGCAATGACATGACCGTAAGCTTGGGAAGGCGGGAAAGCGAAAGGAATAAGGCTGGTCACCCGGTTGAGGTCGGGCCATTTGATGTGCCTCACATCCCCGCTGACCCTGATCGTGTCTCGAACTTCTTCTTCCGTCCGTCGCAAGATGGAACAGACAGACTTTTCGAAAGATTTAGGGAACCTGTCGTCCTCGTATAATTTCTTCGCGTCGTCGAGGGACTCCTTCTCGTGCGGAAGAGTACGTTTGCAAGTGTTCACGTACTCCACCGCGTCCTGGAAATGCTTTCGCATTTCGACCCACACCTGTTTCGTGAGGCCCTGCGGCCCGAACTCCTCCAGAAGCCGCCCCTCGATCCGGAAAAAGGGCCCGTAGCGCCAAACACGTTCGTGTTCCTCCGTTTGAAGGAACAAGATGTAGTGAAACATATGGAGCATCACACGGTCCACTTTCGTCGTCGCGACCATGTCTTTAATTCCAGGTTTATGCTGACGCTTCAGATGCCCGCCCGCGGATTGCACGAACACTCCCCTTAGTGTGAGAATGTCGTCGAGGATCGACAGTTTCTCAACATCGGTCATGTCGGCGAGACACTGCCAACAGAACATGTCTAGCTCCTTCACGACCACGAAAAACTTGTCGTCCGCTTGCGTTTTCTTTTTGGTCGGAGGCGGCGGGACCCGGACCAGCCACCCCATCTTCGTTTCACCAGCCGCCCCTTTCAAGCCAATTTCTGGAATTGCTTGCAGACCCGGAGATTTGTCTCGCATGTATTTGCCCGGCCTCGACAATGGCGTCTTGCCGTCGCCGCCCAACAACTTTCCCTCCGCCCATTTCACGTAGAACCCCATGGCTTTGCGGAAGACTTCATCACCGGCCGTCACGAGCGGCATCCACTGCCTCAATGCATTGCCCACAGCAGTGACATACTCCTCGTTGGCGAGGGACAAATCCTTTTTTGCCAACGACCAGTGAGCTTCGTTTGGACTCTTTCCCAAAAGCAGCTTTTGGAATTTGAAGAACTCTCGTTTTTCGGCGTCCTTGCCGGAAGGGTTCCCTTGAATGGCCACCGGCCTTCCTTCATTCTCCCACGCCTCCCGCATGTCCAAGAACGTGGCCTTCTACGATCGCTGCTTAGACATCTTGTGTCTCGTGTTCTCGTTGAGACTGACCTGCCTATACCCCGCAAAATCTCGGTCGGAGAACCACACAACTCTCGCCGGCCACAAGTGCATCTTCCGCAAATCGAATATTGGCTCACCCTCCAACTCCTTCACAGCAGCCACGGTGTGTTGTCCGTTAACAGGGTAATAGTAGTACTTGTCCTTGTCCTCTGGCTTGAAGACATCTTTGTGAACCCTGTCAGCTTTGTCCGACCTATGCATCACCGGCTTGTAAATGGGTGCCAAAACCAAAGGGTTTTTCGTCCAGATCTTCCCCTTTTTCTCGCGGAATTGACTCAGCATCACATCCTTGATGTCGTCCACAGTTTCGCGACTAAGACTGTGGTGGTTGTAATATCTTTCCCAAGGCGGGATGTCGCAGACCTTCCTGGGGTCAATGAGCAGTTAGACGGCGAGCTCCTTCTCCATGATTTCACCGCCATCGTTCCGCTCGTATCCGAGCCAGAACGCTGTCGCTTCGTCGCACTCCTCACCGACAGGCCCTTCGCCACCGCTTGCCGCCTCAGCAGTCTTCCGCCTTCGAGGTGTCTTCTCTGCATCGCCTTCTTCAGCTGCCACTTTCCGTTTCGATTTCCCCGAAGGTTCTCTCGTGGCCGCAGTGCCTGGATTAGTCGAACCTCCTCAAACCATGGCTCGTCCTTCGCGGATGGTCAAACCGTCGGGCCTTCTCTCTTTCTTATTTGCCGTCTCACCTTCTTCCTTCGACGGCCTATTTCCCGAGGCATGTTCTCAGACGTCACCTCCATCCCCGCCCATCACCTCCTCCGATTTTCCTCTCATCCTCTTCATGCAGAGGGTTCCCTCCGCCACCTCCTCTCGCACCATCCTCTGTCGCTCGCGCTTCTTCTCCTCTCCGAAGGAGTTGGCTCCCTGCCAGAGCTTTCGCGGACAGCGCCCATCCCTTCAGCCTCATTCCCTCTGACGTCTTGCCCCGATCTGCTGGATTCTCTTCTCGTCTCATCTCGAAGCGAATACGTGTCGCCACCACAGTGGACCTTGAGGAGTTTCGGAGTACCGACCCGCTGAGTCCTTGTACCCTGAGAATGCAAGTCCGACGTGTTCCCAGGAGCATCCGGGCTGACCTGCGTCCAAGTTAGTTCGCACTTCGCTTCTGTAGTGGTCTGGGGTTGGGCGTGTTAGTCATCCGAGTTGGTACGAGGTTGGGCATATTAGTCAACGGGTGGGAGTACAATGGCGTCCACAAAGAACACATCCACAAGCACTGGACCATCTGCCCCCGGGGAGGGACGACCTCTTCAGCAATCTACTCCTCAGTATATGCACGCAATGGGAGCACAATGTTTTTTAAACTTCGTTGTTCAGGGGGACCTTTTTGGGCCAGCTGTTTTCATACGACCCACTTGCGTTCCCGACGCTAGGGGAGCGGTCAACGTTCTTCCTCTCGGTACCATCGTCTCGTGCGCCAAGACTCCTGAAGGTTTGCTCAAGTTGCAAACTAACGGTTTGTACGACAAGTGCAGACTGCCTCTCAGAGGTGTTAAGGGTGTGCTGGTGACCATCAAGAGTTTCGCGGGTACGGCTCGAACATGACGTTGTGCTCTCACTTCAAAGGCCTTTACGATGGCAGCAGCAAGCGTCTTCCATCGCTAGAGCAATATCTCGATCTCGCGATGATGGTGCCGAAAGAACGTCCGGTTCTTCCACGAGATCATGTTTTTAGGCTTCTGCCACCCCACGAGGGGTCGTCCGACTTGGCTCAAGAAACTCCAGGGACGGCAGTGGGGCGCGGGAGTGCGATTCACGACGCTGGGGGTCGGGTCAAGGGGCTCGCGCGCAGCGTTCGCAACGAAATGGAGGACGAAAATGACGTAAGAGATGGGTGTTCGAAATGCACACGAAGTCACAACAATCGGGTGAAGGATAGGAAAGACAACAGTCCTCAGGCAGAGTGAGTTTGGAAGGAAGACAACAGCTCCACGGAGAGAGTGCGAACGAGCTCGCTGTCGTAGAATCGAGGCTGAGGTGATATATCTTCAGGAAAGTGCGAACTAACTCGGAGTTTTGGGAATGAAGTCGTCTACAATAAGTACCACATGGGTATCGACAAGGGGGAACCGATGTGCAGTTCTGGGCTGGAGAAAACCGAAGAATGATATTGGTGTTTGAAATGCAAACGAACACAAAACAATTGGGTGGCTGGCAGAGTGAGCTCGGAGGGAAGATGATAACTCTTCGGAAAGATTGCGACCCGACTCGCTGCCGTCGAAACGAGTAAGATGTGGTTTATCGACAAGTGCGAAGGGTGTCGATAAGTGCGAACTAGCTCGCAGTTCTGTAGACAAGACAACAATGGCAACCCGCNCTCGCAGTTCTGTAGACAAGACAACAATGGCAACCCGCAGTACTAGGGGAAAGTGCGAACTAACTCGGAATTGTGGAACT